CGGCTACATGCCCTATCCCAGCCCCAGGAAAACATACCCTAGTCCTACGTTTCCTATCTCTCGCACAAAAAGCCCTATCCATAAACCTCACCTGGCTGTCACCAACTACCACGACCTTACCTGTGGGCAGGGTTTGTACAACTGCCCTTTCCTCTCCTTCATCCATACCGTCCTGCCTCTTCTCTTCCTCTCCAGCTTCCTGCAGCACCTGGTAAGGGTTACTGCACTCCACACCCTGGTCAGCTTTCCTAAGCCTGACCCTAGTCCCCTTGGAGACAACCACTCTCCACGCCTGCTCCTCCTTCACAGGTGTCCTGCTAGGCAGGACACCTACCTGAAGGAGTTCCGTCCTGAGGGCTTCATTTTCCCCCTTTAGAGTGTCAACCTCACTCCTCAACTGCCCAGCTGCCTTAACAGCGTGGCAAGGAGGTCGTCCTTCCCCACACTCCCCTCCTCTTCCCCCACGGCACAACGATCCAAAGCGGCCATTTTCCTTGGTCTCTAGCGGGAGCACGATCAGCACGACCTTCTCCAGCTGACAGCTGACAGCGACATCTGTTGCCAGCGTAAATATAATCGTTAATTAATGCGTTTCTAAAGAAATCATCGACATGGGACCAGGTTTGTTCCACTCTACGAATTTTTTGCGATTTTTCCACCAAGTTTGATGAAAAACGATTGTGCCGTTTCGGCTGCCGAGAGCAGATACACACACGGCTAGTCCTATAGTACGGTATATTAGATTAGATAGATAGATGAAATTATTTGATGAGTAAGATTCATTTATAAATTAAAAAGTATCACAATAGCCTAAATATTATTTAAAGGACAATTTCTTTTTCAATATTTTCGTACTCATATATTTTCATCTCATTGGATAAATTTCAAATATATATTTCTAGAACCACTGCTAATGATGTACACCATTGCAAGTAAACAAATGCTTTGTGTAGTTAGATCGGAATGCCAGAGAAAAATTTTGTGCCTGAATTTGTTTTCTCACGGCACATCTGAAGACACGTACTGTACTTCGAATGAGCGATCACCATTTGTTATTCTGCGAACACCTTATGCACTGTTGATCACGTCAAACCGGAATAACTGCATTTATGCATAGGCAGGAAAGTGGTGGACAGCCAATCGACCACTCAAGGAGCCATTGTGAAAATGTCCTAGACATTACTGACAGGAAATTTATCAAAAACTAAAACATTATCACATCAACAGAGACACTGATGACATCGAGAAACGTGTGGAGATGATTTCACGCTGTAGTAAAATTATGATAAATATTCTTTGTCGCTCAACTGGGTGTCTCACATTACTGTACTGTATATACAGGGCAAGAAACCTGCCTGTATTGGACCTGACACTGGATGTCTGTCAGAGATTACTAAGACAGATAAAGGCGTACTAAAGACATCGTTAAACAAAGTTAAAGACATTCTCGAGGACGCGCTAACAATAAATCTGATGACAAGAAATATCAATACCCAGGTGATGTACTGTATTCGAGACCTATGGTGTATGGAAGACTGAGCTGATGTGTCATTCACATGTCAGTATTTATGTGAACAAGGTGGATGCAAACGTTGAAAGGCCAGTCAGAATTATTGTAGATCAGATAGATTGACACCATATTTTTCTTGCTTAAGATACCAAGCCTTCCTGCAACATGTGAATGTGATTACTTTGCGAAGTCGATTCTCCAATAAGATTGTTTTCTTGGACCAGGAATGATCAACACGTGTATGGCGAGTCACTCATGCACGTTATATAATCACTATACAGTACTGTCTCACTAGCTTTTCAAGCAGGACAACATTGATGAATTTTTTTCATCAGCGAACGGGTTTATGGTAAATATGGCTTAATCTGTAGGAACATACTGTCTGCTTTGGAACTTACGAAGAATACCACATGTACAAACAGCTGCGTTGTCATATTTTCACGAGGACACAAATACAATAATAATTTTCCATGTTATTTATATACCACATAATGCAGTAAGAGATGCCATTACCGGTTGCTTGTTGTAATGGTTCCGATATTTTCATCCTTCTCTTCCATCTCGCAGCACTTGTGAGTGTAATTCTATGGATGGATGTTGACCTCAGTTCAAAGAATTCATGACGAATGATAAACATAACCGGTCTGACTTGGTAACTTCAGTGTGATAATCATTATACCCCGCCAGTTTTCATACCTTCACTGGATGTGATTTCTCAGCAGCTTCCATGCAGACAGGGAAAGTGAGCGCCTATCAGTTGATGCTGAAAAATAACAACTTGCCATCGTATTTGGGGATATCTGAATTTTATGCAGTTGCTACTGACGTTGTTACCACTATTGGAGAGCTTGTTTGCGTTGATGAGATGTTCCAAAGGTGAATAATGTTAATGACGGCAGGTTCAAAATTCTGAGGAAAATTTACGCCCTCGTGTTGTAGAACGACCCATGACGGGTCAAAACCGTAGATTCATGCACTACAGACTACACAATATATCCCTAGGTAAGATTCTTCTGAAGTGATCAGTGGTCAATGACTATTAAGACACGGATTCTTTGTCATTTTATTTCAGGTACCTCGCCTTCCCCACCACTGTACCTTCCACCAGAAACCTGTTCTGGTCCCTTCACATCAGTTAGCCTTCATGTGGCGGTGGCGGTCTCCAGTACTACTCATCACTGCTCCACAAATAAAACTTAAAGTTTTTTGGCGCCTCAACGACCGTTCCCTCACTTCCACCATTCTGAGAACACTCTTACCTGATAATTATACGAGTACATAATCTGGAGAAGATATTCATAATGACGATTTGGGTCTGTTTATCTTTATTACTCATTGATCACCCTCGTCTATATTACACAACGATATAAACTATAGATAATCTGGCAACTTTATTAAAGTCCTCGTTTATGTTATTAAAATTATTAACAATAAATAATTTGTAATGGAGATTTGATATTTTAAATGTTGAAGAGTTATGGTATGTAGTGTGTTGATGATGGTGGGAATATAAGCTGTAAAATGGTCTTTGTAATTAGAAATTTAATAATAACACTAGGCAACAAATTTTAAAACAAAAATTTCTTAACATGGTTCAGAGCAGCTTCCTTTTGGTAATTTTGAGGTGCCGATTTCAAAGCTGGTAATAAAAATTCTCTGATACGTATAGTTTATTTGTTATACAAAAAATTTAATCTTGCAAATAAAAAAACTGAAAAATACTCTTTTTCCTGATACTTTTTTCCGCGTTACTCTAAAATTCAACAAAGAATGAAAACAATCATAAGAAGACACAAAAAGTATTAAATTAGCCACTGTATGGCCATTTGTTATTTTATTTCATCCTTTTTTGTGTTGTATTGTCCTCCGGTTGTAAAAACCATCATTGCAGGATCCCCTCTACCCTGGTACCTTTCCTCCATACGTCTAATGTCCTGATGAAATCGCTCTCCCTGTTCTTCACTAACCGCCCCCAGATTCTCAAGAAGAAAGTCCAAGTGTGAGTGTAGGTGGTGGACTTTCAGGGACATCCTGCATCCTAGAGTTTTGTAGTTTTTTAAGAGTTCCTCTACAAGTTGGCAATAGTTTTCGTCCTTCTTGTGTCCAAGAAATCCCTTGACTACAAATGTGAAGGATTTCCATGCAGCTAGTTCACTTTATTTTCAAAGTCGTCATCACGAAGTAGCTTTCTTATCTGTGGGCCAACAAAGATACCCTTAGGTACACGAACCCATCACCTTGTTTGTCTATAGCCATCACAAAATTCTTCATTAGTCCCAACTTGATGTGTAAAGGAGGTAGAAGTACATCTTTGGGTCTACCAAGGGAGTATATTTAACGTTGCTTTTTCCTGGAACAAACTCTCCTCTCTTTGGCCAGTCCTTTGTGTTGTAATGTTTTTCTGTTGCTCTGCTGTCCCATAAACACAGATAACAGCAATATTTCGTGAACCCTCCTTGAAGGCCGAGTAGAAGGGCTATAACCTTCAAATCGCCGCAGATCCGCCATCTATATTCCTTGTATTTAATAGCGGTCAGTATTTTCTCCATACTATCATACGTTTCATTCAAACCTACAGAATGCGCTACTAGAACTGAGGGCTTCTGGTTCCCATTATGCAACAATACTGCTTTCAAACTAAACTTGAAGGAATCTATGAAAAGCCGCCATTCCTTTGGGTCATGTTTTTCTCCCAACTCTGACATCAGTCCATCTACATCAGTACACACACAGAGGGAATCCTGCATACTGTAGAATGAAGATAATGTAATATTTCTTTTCCTATAAACATAAATTCTTATCTGTTTCGCTAGCAAGTTCCATTCCTGCCGTCTTGATGCTAAAAGTTCCGCGTGTTGTTTTGACAGACGGGGATCACGTACAAGATCATTAAGTTCACTTTGTTCTACAAGATGTGGTTCATTGGAAGTCTGGTCAATGAAAAGAGGATCATGGGATGATTCTGGTATTTCTTGCTCAATTTCCTCATCCGAAGTTGAGAGCTCTTCCAAATTAGTCGGTGGTGTAGGTATAGGGAGGCCTTCTCCGTGAGGAACGGGCCTTATTGCCGAAGGTACATTTGGATACTCAATTTGGTGAATTTGGTGAATTAACACAGCCTCGGCGTTGTATTCTCTCCATTCTCCTGTTCAGTATTGCTAACCTTGCATTTAATATATCCCTAGAAATGTTACGTGACTGACATTTTTTATTGCTATATTTGTAATCAGCACCCCAAAATTAATAAAGTCCAGCGTATTTGATCCATGTTACCAAACCCTTGTCAACTAGTGTTATTAAGTGTGTTGGAAAAATCTACATAAGGGAACAGTAAAAAAAATTTAAATGCGTATCTCTATGAAAGCACATGTAAGAAAGTTAGACATGTTTCCATAAGACAACTATGAGCATAAAACGAACACCTATAGTAAATGACTCTGAATAGACGGTGTTTCAATAAATGTTACGAAAAGGGAACAGAAACTATAAATAAACTAAGCGAAATTTTAATTAAAACTGAAAAGTTAATTGTACAATACAAATATGTATTATGAATGAAATAAAATAACTGAACCACACAAACTCAGTTTTGACAACATTATTTTGTTGGCTAATTCTGTGAATATATACCCCCCCCTCCCACCACACACACACAAAACACAATAAAGTTAGATTTTTTATTAATCACGTTATGCAATTTATAATTCTCTAAGGTCTGACAGGTTTCAACACAATTATGACCTTATATGAGGAACAATGTTATTATTAGCTGGTTCTGTTGTCTGTATGTCTCACCATCACAAGCAGATCTCAACCTCTCAGACATCTCTGTCTTTTCTGCTTATGACTTCACCACAGTTGCTATTTAAGGAAGACTCATGTCAAGAGCGCGTTGGAGGACGATCCTGGCGGCTTCTATCAGGGCCCGTAACGTGACCAAAGGCATAGCTCGCTGCAGGAACGGATGCTGTGAGGGAGAGAACCATCGTTATTTCTTATTATTATAGTGATGTAGTGATGATGTCCAGACAGATATTTGATACGATAAGGTCTACTACTTCTTGTATTGGTGTTTCTTCTATGGCTATTGGTATTAATGAGACGAAAAAAGAAAAGAAAACGTGAAAAACAAGAGAACACTATAACACGGTAATGATTAGGAAACAGGAACTTGCTTGTTTTGTGTGGGTCTATGAATCAGGAGAGAGAGAGAGAGAGATCTGGGCTTGGGTGTGGGGAGGAGTTGGGGGGACGGGTAAATGGACTTAGAAAACCCCGTAGGTTTTCCGTTTTCACCCGCTGAGTTGAGTGATGGTAGCCAATCCACCGGTGTCTACTGAGCTCCAGATTATAGATTCCTGTCCATCTGGGGTCCTGCCACGTTCTGTTGTGAGGAAGGACTTAGAAGAGGTCTCCAAAATTGTGATATAGGGCGTGTGCTTCCTTGTTCCAGCGTAGAAGTGGTGAGTGGGAAACCCACTGTAGTGCAGCGGCTAAGGTTAAATATTTGTAACAAATGTGCAAATTGTGACATATGCAAAAAAATTGCAGAAACCTGTTTCAGAGCACTGGGAAACATAAGCGATCGGGATCCCATCTCTATCTATTTTGGTTTGGAAGATATTTAAAATGGCGTCAAAGATGGCTGCCATAGAATGAATTTCTCATATCTCAGCTCCTAATTGTCATATAAAGATGAATCCAAGATGGCCGCCCTACTTTTGTTGTTAATTTTTCAGCTTCTGGTTTCTATTCAAGATGAGAAACAAACTTACATCAAGGTTTTAAGGCAAACAGTCTGATTTTTTAACACCATTTTGCCTTTTCTGTGTTTTTCCAAAAATACAAGCTGCTTGGATGTAAGAGTGCCACGTTTTAAAGTAAATTTTGTCTTGTTTTAGAGAAAATATGTACGAAAATTCAATTAAGAGACAAAGTGTTCCCGCTGGCCAAGCTATCAGTGCCCTGAGTGTGCCTTAGGCGTAAGCCAATCACAGAGACCCGTTACTGTGACGTTATAGGCACAGTGTAGTTGATTGGCTGAAAACTAGCTTTACCTACCCAGCCACAAGTGCGCCCAGTTTTCAAAAAGACAATCTAGGTTGGTGTGTTTGTCAGTGAACATTGTGGGTTAAGGACAGCTGGATTATCCATTTCGCGAAATGCATTGTGATTCATGTGGCCTCGTGTAACTAGTTAAGAGTGTAGATTATTGTATGAAGTGTAATTGTAAATCTTAATAGAAAGCGTTCAATAAAACCGTTAAGAAGTGTCATGAGTGTCACATATTTCCCCTAGTATATATGTTAGTATCTGATATACTTATTCATACATTTATTATCGCCCATTCTCCCTCCTTCCTCTCCCCCTTGTCTCTCTCTTGTCTCTCTCTCTTCCTCACTCTTCTCCTTCCACTCTTTCTGTATGCGAAAGAAAGAATAATGAAAAACAGAGAAATATAGAGAAGTAAGAAATGATGATAGTAAATGATAGAAAATAGAGGGTAAGGAGAAATACAGTAAAGTAAATAAATAGAGAAAATAAAGGGAAGAAATACTCATTTGTTACATGGCTCATGTGAATGAATTTTTTTTTGCACTTTTCAAAAGCATCATATCCCACTGGAATACGTCAGTTCCAATTTAACAAAACAGCACAAAATGGCATAACAATTAATTAATACTACATGAAAATACAGTATAATCACTAGTATGTCCATTAAGCACACCATAAATGTACTGAAAAATAACTAGTTACAGAGAACTAACAGTGTCCAGTAAAATACAACAATTTACATTACATCCTGTTAAGCAAATCAGTTCATACGAGTGTTCATAATGCAGACACTAGGCCTAATTTGATAATCTTGTTTATGTCCTGTGCACATGCACCTTGGCAAACACAGATCTCTGTGCATTTCAAGTTAGACCAACGTCATTTGTAGTGTTGCCTGACCTTTTTTCGCATCCACAGTGAATGAGTTCACCACACGATTTCGATGCATCAGGGAGGTCTGTCCAATGAGGCATCCATCGTGGTCCTTCCAGCAGCCATCCCCACTCTTAAGGACTAGGGATAACTTGTACAGGAACTAGACATTGTACTATACAAATCCGGCTTAAAAAGCAACTATTTTCGTATGCTGCATTGAAGCACCTTTTGTGGGTGGTAGGTGTTCTATTGTATCTTTCAGCATCATCAATTCTAGATGAGGAACACGTTTTGCTGTACTTCCGAATGACAAATCTTTCTATCTGGCAAAGAGCATCCTCGCTCACAGCTTCAGGTCTGAAAGCTAACGCAAGAAAAGTATCAAACAACTCAGGCAGAGAGGAGCACGCCTTAGGAAGAAGGAGGCCGTGTCACAACCAGTTATGACATGAAAAATTGGGAGTGCCTTTGTTCATAGTGGCCTAAGTCTCTTGGCAATGTTCCGGAAGTGGTTCCCTGTGCCAAAGTCAACCCGAAGTTTATCAAGATCCAATCTGTGTAAGAATGCTACTACCAAAACTACAATATTGGATTCAACTGTACTGGTAGACACTTTTCTCATGTCACCATTTGCACAGAGTTGCACAAGAAGGATAACCCTGGTGTCAGCCTCTTCATGAAATATGGGCTGACAGCACATATTCGCCTTTAGTTGTCACGAAAATCATGTTTTCAGTAGACATGTGCTTGACTTCGTCAGAGAGAAACTGGAACAGCTCTTTGTTGCTGTTAACTTACCTAGTTAACAGGTACGGGTACGCTAGCCACTGCCGTATGTTTGATGGTAGTACATTTTCCAGTTCTGTGCTTTTTCGTTGCCTCCTTTAAGCTACCTTCCAATAATTATTTATCCCAAACGAGGTCTATTCTCCTGACTGGTTGTAGCTGTGACATCACATATGGCTTGAACACCTTTTCTGCATAGTCTGCAAATGTCTTACATTACTTGGGTGGTAACATGTGGATCATAGTAGCTCCATCTAGTACTTTGATGTCAACATTGGGGATATCAACTACAGATGCCTCTGTCCTTGGTATGAGACATTCCAGTAAATCAGATTTCACACCATGTCACAAATTGCCCATATCTGACAAAGAAGGTAGCGACTATTGGTTTTCATGCCGAAAGAAGTCATCCAGACAACAAAGAAAACAGATATTCAATGAAATAGATTACACTAAATATATAATTCATGACAGAGTTATAGAATGATGAGTCGCAGGAGTCTTAAAAATTAATTCAATGCATCATAGCTGAAAACATGTGTATAAAATGAAAAAACCAGTCTTTGTATGATGCACGATATGATAAATTCATGTAATGGCAGCCATCTTAGACGCCATCTTGAATATACCTCACACTAGAATAGATGGAGATGGAGTCTCGATTTTATTGAATTCAGAATGCCTAAAAATCCAAATTCTGGTGTAAATGTCATCATGATAAATTTGTGCTATGATGACCTTCGTAGACGCCATCTTGAATATCTCCTAAGCTATAAGAAATTGAGAAGTGGTTTTAGTTTCAGTGGATTCACCTCATCAAAAGACCTATATTTTCGTACAATAATAATCTTGTTAAAACAATTAGCAGCAGAGATATGAGAAAATGTTGCTGTGGTGGCCTTCTTGGACGCCATATTGATTATCTTCCAAACCGTAAGCGATAGAGATGGGGTCTCGACCTTATATGATTCCCCATGCTCTAAAGTTGGTTTGCCCCAATTTTGAAATTTGTATCACAAAATTCACAATGCTTCTCATTAGCCGCTGGACTACTAAGAGAGGGTCTGCTGTTCGGCCGAATGACTCGGCCCTGTCTTTCTTCCCCTTCGACCTGGTACCAGCTATTGGGAGTAGCCTTCCCGTTTGTCGGTCAACTTGAAGTCCATGCCATTCCTTGGCTTGTGAGACTCTGCCTTCTACTAGTGCTTCCCCAGAATATTATATCCTAAGCCGTGCACATATGTCCGGTACCTGGCGTTGTTTGGACCTGGTGTTTGATATCAGCCACTGTAATATTGAATTAATTATTGTGTGTTCATACTTACGTGGACGTGTGGATGATGCGTGACTGGGTTTGGCTCTGAGTTACTATGATATTTATATATGTCTATATGCATAATTATATTAATGAAACTTATCACTGTATTTCATTTTGACCTTAAGGAGACAATCCTGAATCAGTATTACAGTAAGGCATACAATATAACGTGGCTATAGGAGTTCATGATTAACACCTCTAAGCTTCAGCTTGCCTGGAGGTTGTAGAACCTACTGTATACTGTCATCTGGAATTCATCAACAACGTCCCTTACACTGTTGTATTGTTCATGGTAATATTTGAACCTTGGTCTGATCTTGTCATGTACCAAGTGCCAACGGAGCTAAATATACCACCTTGACCACCGTACATCTTTGTTAATTTTAATGAGATCCAGCGGGTTTGGTGTTTGTTCCCCTCTGCAGTGAATAGGAATGGGAAATTGTTTCTCAGAGTTTTCAGAGAGGGAGTTGCAGGATTATTAAGGTCATTTGATGTAATTTATTGCACCAGTTAATGTAACTATAGTTAAAGCCCCCCATAAAAACTAGGTGTCTCGAGTCGAGCACCATTGCGTTGTCAATTTAGGCTCGTAAGTTCCCTTGGCTTTATAAACTGCAATTCGGAGAGATATAAATACATCCAACAATGAGTAAGTCTCTTCCCTTTAGTTTTATTTTACATCTAGGCGACGGCCTAGACCCCCAAACCCATCAAGGGGCCCCCTGATTCCTCCTTCAGGAATAAAGTTCAGAAGCTCTGAGTCTGGGTACTAATTTTTCAGTTACCTGCCGTGTTATAAGCCATATAACAAAAATTTGCACCTAACAAAGTAGTACGTTATTACTGGTGTCTTGCAAAAATAATATAATTAATTCCTGTTTTGATGTAATTTTATTTCCTGACATTTCCCTGTACTAAGCATTGCCACA